CAGTTCAAATCTCTCTTGTGTCTCTCAGGTGAGCACATACCATTGCAAAATCCTAAAATAAATAAATAAATATTTAAATAAAACTTCGAATCTCATGTCATTTTAGGTGCTATTTTTTTTTTTAATAATCTGTGTTATGCTAGTACATATCTGTCAGCTGCATCTCCAAAATATATTACCAAAAGGACTGATCACAGAGCTTGGAAGTTGGATATGGTGGTGCACGCCTGTAATTCCAGCTACTCAGATGGTGAAACCAGGAGGGTCATGAGTTTGAGACCAGCCTGAACAGCAAGTGAAGACACTGTCTCAAAAAGGACAGAGTTAGGAGACCCTTGCTTCAGTCCCCTGCTCCAGAAATTTCTAAAGCAGCAGAAGGAGGCAGGACCAAGACAGCCTCTGTGAACCACCCTCCCCTCCCCTCCAAGGAAGGCCAGCAGCACTGGTGGGGGGGGGGGGGGGAGTGTGTGTGGGGGGAAGCCCTCCGAACCACCAAGGGGAGACAGGAGCGCTGAGAGACGGGGACAAGGTTTCTGAGCTCCTTGGAGTCCCCGGAGCACCCACTCCTTCTCTGTCTCCGCCTCACAGCCTTTCTGTCTTCATGGTCCCCTCCCCACGCGCCACAGCTCCTCTCACTTTCCCTCACGCGCCTTCTCCGCAGTCTCCTCTCATGGTTTTTCTGCCTGTTTTTCACCCCCTCAAGTGACCTCCCCTGAGGCCCTTCCTCGCTTCTCTTCCGCGCCTGGGGTTCCCGCTCTAGCCTCCTGCTCTCACACCATGCCTGAGAAATCCTGTCTCGAGCTCCTCCTTCTTCGTCCCCCACCCTTCATGCCCCGGCTGGTGTGGGTGGGAGAGAAGCGGAGCGGGGTCTCAGTGTCCTGCTCTCAGGTGGCCCCTGACACCAGGCGACCATGCACAGAGAGGCTGTGTGCCCGCGGTCCTGCAGGCGGGAAGTTTCAGACCGGGCACCTGATGTGGACTGCTGTGAGGGCACCCGCTGTGTCACAGCATGGTGGGAGAAGAGGGGACCAGGAGCCTGAGAGAGCAGACAGAGCCTGCTGTAGAGCCACCTGGAGTAACTAATCCTGTCCCACCAGAGCTAGTAAGTGGGAGCTAAACAGCAAACAGACACACACACACACACTCACACATGCGCACTTGTGCACGCACGCGCGCACACACACACACACACACACACACACACCAGACTTCCTTCTTCAAGGTTCCCCCTCCCAACACTGCTGCACTGGGATGAGCTTCATATGAGCTCTCATGAGAACAGACTACTTCAAACCACAGGGAGTGGTTGTACCCGGAATGCCAGTACTTACCTCTGCTCCCTCTCAAATACTTCTAAAACGACTCCCAAAAGAAACACTTAGGCTGCTGCAGGCACAGCAGTGACACAGGGCCCTGTGATGCTGAAGCCATGTGAGAAGGTCCCAGGCCATTCTCAGGAGATCTCTGGTACACCCAGTGACCCCGGCTGGCTGAAGTTGGATGGATTTTGAGTGTAGACCCTGTGAGAGGTGCCTGTCTTTTTCTCTCTTCCCTCTCTCTCTCTCTCACTCCCTGTTTTCTTCTCTGTTCTCTCTCCCTCTTCCCCTTAGAAGAAATAAATAAAACTAAAAAGAAAAACAATCATGTAGGTACAAAGGGAGCAGATAACAGCAAACCTATAATTCCTTTCTTAAAAGCTGGTGAAGGTGAAGGGCCAGGAGGTGACTTGGTGGTTTAGAGCACTGGACTCCCACATGGCTGACCACAGTTGGAGTCCTGGACCTGGTGGCTTGCTTTCTCACTTTCTCACGCCATGCTCTCAGCCCGCCCATTCTGTTCCTCTCTGGTCAAATTAAAATAAATAAATAAATAAAGTTAAATAAAATATGGTGAAGGTCTGAGAAACCATCACTAAGCTGTATACAGGGGAGATGGCCGAGACTGACCCGAAGACCATGCAGGACCTGACCTCTGTGGTGCAGACTCTCTTGCAACAAACACAAGATAAGTTTCAGACCGTGTCCAACCAGATCATTGGAAGAATTGATGATGTGAGTAGTCGCATTGATGATCTGGAGAAAAACATTGCTGACCTCATGACACCAGGGGGGTTGGAAGAACTGGAAGAGGAAAACAAGATACTTGCCACACAGAAGACTTGAAGGTTGCTAATAACTGACACTGAAATCTGGATCACCACGAGGAAACCAGCTGGCTTTCTGAGCTAACCACTACGTGTAGACAGGCTTTATATTATAAAGTATGTATTCCTAACCACACACTATATAGTGAGTTTAAAGAGTGATTCCCCTAGTGTCTATTTTTGTAGGCATTTTTAATGCTTTTTTTTTTCAAGAAAAACAGTTTTGGTTTTAATCAAAATTGAAAAATGTTTAGAGAAGTTTGCTTAAGACTTTAAGCCAGGAAAGAGGTTAGGATTCAGTTCAAGCAGTAGGTAGATGATCCTATCAACAGTTCAAGAGAAGACAAAAATCCTTATATCTGGAAAACAAAGTATAGAAGAAAATCAGTAATGTTTTAGTCAGAAGTCATCAAATTCCATTTCACTAGTTCAGTCTCATGAACTTAATCTCTCTTCTGTTGAATTTGAAGTGTTACTGCTGTCTGATCTTTCCATTTAAACTCTGGAAGTTTACATTGAATGATATTATTGATCTTTCCAGCCTTGTCCCTACCATTAAGTTGGCCAAATCTTGGTTGTTTTTTGTACTCTTTTTTTTTTTGGAGAGGTTTTTGCTATAAGGTGTGTGCACTCGCCAGACAGAGAGAGAGAGAGAAAGTCCATTCTCCTCTTGGGATCTTGGGCACACATGCACACACGCCCAGCGTGAGTTTAAGCCACCGGGTCCGGGACTTGAACCACGGTTGACTACGTGGGAGTCCAGCGACATAGCCATTACGTTAACTGCTGGTCCCTGTTTTTTGTACTCTTATTTCTGTGTGTTTGACTTCAGTTTTCCTGGTATAGCACTCTTCAGAACTTCTTGGAGAGCTGGTCTGGTGTTGGTAAATTCTTTCAAGTTTTGTTTATCTGAGAATGTTTTTATCTTTTCTTCTCATATGAAGGATAACGCTGCCAGGTATAGTATTCTTGGTTGAAACTGTTTTTCACTTAACATTTTGAATATATTTTCCCATTCTTTCCTTGCTTGCATTGTTTCTGATGAGAGGTCTGATGTTAGCCTGATAAGATATCCTTTGTAAGTAACTCAGTGTTTCTCTCTTGCCAGTTTTAGTACCTTTTCTTTGTGGTTTTGGTCAATCTGGCTATGATGTGCCCTGGGGAAGATCTTCTTGGGTTGATTCTATGTGGGGTCTTTGTATTTCTTGAGTCTGGATGTTTGAATGCCTCTCTCCAGGTTTGGAAACTTTTCTTCCAGCATTTCTGGAATTGATTATCAATCCCCTTATTAGTTTCTTCACCTTCTGGGATACTGATGATCTGGATGTTTAGGTGTCTAATGGTATCTAGAAATACTGGTATATTATCTCATTTGGGGGGGTATTTTCTCAGTTTTTTTGGTGAACTTTTCTAGGTCAGAGGTTCTGTCTTCTACATCTGAGATTCAATCTTTTGCATGATCTAATCTTCTCTTAATACTTTCAAGGGAGATTTTGTTTTCCTGTATTACAGCCTTCATCTATAACAATTCCACTTGATTCTTTTTCATGGCGTGTATTTCCTCTTTCAGATTGTACAAAAACTTCCTCACCTCCTGAAACTCATTCTCTCTTTTCTCCTACCTCTTCTGGAGATCGTTGTCTTTCTTCTCATGCATCTCTGTTAGCTTTCTCACTACGAATATTCTAAATTATTTGACATTTCTATGAGTTCCACTGTGCTATCTATGGAGGATGAGGAGTTATTCTTTTTCTTTGAGGGAGAGACATTTTCTTGGCTTCTCATATTTTTTGTGCCTTTGCAGTGGTTTCTGGCCATCTGATGGGTTGTACGTTATTTTTTAATTTATGGAGTCAAATCTGAGCATTCGGAGGCATGCAAGAGGAAGTGATCTGCAATCTCTCTACAGTTCCATTTTTCTCCCTTTGTGCAGCAGATTCCATGGGAATTGATGATTACTAGAATATGTATATATATATATATATATATATATATATGAAATTAGAAATGGAAAATTATGATTAAGCCACTATGCAGTATATTCTGGATGGAAAATTACATTTTGTATGTTGTAATGATGCTCAGGGAATGAATATAAATTAAATATTAATTTTTAAAAAATATTTCAGAAGAAAATTATAGTGCACTCTTCACTAGATTCTAGCTTTGTCCATATTTTTAGTTTAAGGTATTTTGTGAATCAATCAAATGTGAAAAAAAAATTTTAAATAAAAAACTAATCTAAGCTGAAAAAATTATTAAATAAAAATATGCAGATAATATTCTAGTAAAAAATATTTGCCCCAGTTGTAATAAATTTTCATCTTGCAGATCTATTTATGTTCTTCTGTACCCAATACTTTTCATTTCAATGTTGCATTATAATTGCAATATTTTTAAAGAAATTTAGGGCTGTAATTAAGATTTCGAATTAAATTTTAATTAAAAAAATTTTTTTTTCTTCTTGTCAAATTATAGCATCTCCGGGAACCAGCAGTTAGTGTAATGGCTATGTCACTGGACTCCCACGTAGTCAACTGTGGTTTGCGTCCCAGACCCGGTGGCTTAAAACTCATGCCGGGCACGTGTGCGTGCATGCCCAGGATCCCGAGAGGAGGATGGAGGAGAAGGGATTGCAGTGTGGCCATTCCCCCGAGGGGTGATTTCTTGCTTTCTATCTCTATGTCTCTCTCTGTCTGGCAAGCGCACATGCCCTATAGCGAAAATCTCTCAAAAAAAATTATAGCATCTCCTATATAAGAATACTTTTCTGTTATAGGATTTGCAAGTATTTTCTCCTATGCTGTTGCTTGACTTTTTATTTTATTTCTGGTGTACTTTAAAAAGTAAAAGTATTGTGCTCACTTCAGCAGCACGTATACTAAATTTGGAATGATATAGACAAGATTAACATGGCCCCTGCATATGGATGACACTCAAATTCATGAAGTATTCCATATTTTTCATTAAAAATCTATTCCATAAAATCCTGAAAGAAAATTTTCCATACCTAGAAATACAATCAAACATCCATACCCAAGAAATACAAAGGACTCCAAATAGAATCAACCCCAAAAGATCTTCTCCATGGCCCATCATATCCAGACTGGCCAAAAACACAGATAAAGGCAAGACACTAAAATTGGCAAAAGAGAAATGTCAAGTTACAGACGAAGGTTATCCCATCAGGTAACATCAGACATCTCACTGGAAACAATGCAAGGGAGGAAAGAATGGGGAAATATAGTCAAAGTGTTAAGTGAGAAACAATTTCAAGTAAGATTACTATACCCCTAAATGTTATCCTTCAAATGGGAAGAAAAGGTAAAAAACATTCTCAGGTAAACAAAATCTGAAAGAATTTACCAACCCCAGACCAGCTCTTCAAGAAGTTCTGAAGGGAGTGCTATGTCAGGAAACTAAAGACAGTCAGAAATAAGAGTACAACAACCAACCAAGAAAATGGCTAACTTAATGGCAGAGATAAGTCCAGAAATATGGATGATAATGTTGAATTAATGGCTTAAATTATCCAATCAAGAGACAAAGACAGGCTGAATGGATAAAAAAAAAAAGAAAGAAAGAAAGAAAAAGAAACCCTTTATCTGTTGCCTACAAAAACACTCACCTCATGCATAAAGACATCAATAGACTTAAAAGTAAAAGGCTGGAAAAAGGTATCCCAAGCATATAGAAATGAAAAAAGGGTGGGAGTCTCAATATTGATTTCAGACAAAATAGACTTTAAAATAAAACTGTAAGAAGAGACAAAGAAAGGCATTATATTGTAGCAAATGTGCTAATTTATCAAGAAGATATAACGCTTATAAATATCTATGCATCAAAATCAGGAGCACCAAAATAAGTGAAGGAAAGACTACTAGATCTAAAAGTAGAGATAGACTACAACACACTAATTGTTGGAATCTCAGCACCACATTATCCCCTTCAGACAGATCAATGAGACAAAAAATAAGCAAACAGATGCAAGACCTAAATGATACCATGAATCAGATGGACTTAATAGACATCTATACAACTTTCCACCCAAAGCCCACAAAATATAGATTTTTCTCACCCCCACTTGGTAACGTTATGAAGATTGATCACATGATAGGGCACAAAACAAGCTTTTAAAGATTCAAAGGCATAGAAACTATATCCAGCATCTTCTCTGACTGTGATGGAATTAAACTTAATATCACTTTCAGGAAAAACCCTCAAGAACACACAAGTATATCAAAACTAAACAGCCTACTCCTGAGTTACTTCACTACTACTGAAGAGATTAATACTGAAATCAAAGATTCATGGAAATAAGTGATAATTAGTGTATGAGTTTCCACAATCTATGAGACACCACAAAAACAGTTATAAGATGAAAATTCATAGAAATTAGTGCTCATAAGAAAAAGATGAAAAGGTGAGAAATGGACAATCTAATATCATGCCATAGAGAATTGGAAAAACAACAACAAAAACATCCAAAAAATTCCAGGAGAAAAGAAATAATAAAGATCTGAGCAGAAATAATTGAAGTAGAAAAAAAATATGAAGATCTGAGCAGAAATAAATGAAGTAGAAAACAAATATACTATACAGAAAATGAGTGAAAGCAAAAGCTGGTTCTTTGAAAAGATGAACAAGATTGACACACCATTAACTATACTAAGAAAAAGAGAGACAGGACCCAGATAAATCAAATTCACAATGAAACAGGCAATATCACAACAGACATAAACGAAATACAAAACATCATTAGAGGATACTATGTTGTATTACACACCAACAAACAAGAAAATTTGGAGGAAATGGACAAATTCCTGGACATATATAACCTACCAAGATTTACTCAAGAGGACATAGAAACTCTGAATACACCCATAACAAGCAATAACCTCCCAACAAAGAAAAGCCCAGGTCCTGAGGGCTTCAATTTTTAATTCTACAAAACTTTTTTTTAATAATCATAAAATTTTACTGGAATCATCAAAAGCCCCCACAATGTCAAAACAATACTCCATAAAAAGAATGAAGTAGGAGGCATCTCACTCTCTGACCTCAAAACATATTACAGGGCTGTGATAATCAAAACAATATGGTACTTGCACAATAACGGGCATGTAAACCAATGGAACAAAATTAATCCCAAAACATGCTTCTTTTTTTTTTTTTTTTTTTTCCTCATTGGCCAAAGATTTATTTCAATTATGTAAGCTTGATGTCTTAAAAAACATATTGGTAAGTTTTTTGCTTTATTTATTTATTTTTCTTCTTTATTTATTTTTTACATTATTTCACTATACATTGTTAGAGCATACAAATGAATTTTCCATCAGAAATACACTATATATTGGCTCAATCAACCACATCAACATACATGTTATCAGCCAATAATTTTCCATTTCTTATGTCTTGTATACTTTGTTTTTTTCTTTTGCCATCCTTGATTCCCTATCCCTCACCCTCTGCCATGTTCCACCCTCCTCCCACATTGTCTCAGGTATCCATGGTTGCTTTCTATGCCTTTCCCCCCCATTTAATTGATTTGCTAATGAACTTAATTAGTCTAAATATTTCCAGTAGCTAGCACAGCTGACATATACCTATACATGAACCCAAGTCTGACTTTAGGCATAAACCTCAGTGAGTAGAATGAACATACTATAAAGTAGTACCTAGCTGGGGCTATATAGCTTACTGCAATCATCAAATATGCATTTTTTAAAATTTTGATAAAAACAGTTTTACTGTTTTTTTTCTCCTGAAACTTTTTTTTTAATTACTTAACATTCATTCCCTGAGCATCATCACAACATACTAAATGTGGTTTCCCATCTAGAATAAATTGTGTAGTGGCTTAATCATGCATGTTATCATCAATAATATTCCATTTCTAGTTTCATATATATGTATATATATGTTTTTTACCCCATGTTTGACCCTCTGCCCTTTCCCACTCTCTTATTACACTGTCTCTGCTACATACAGTTGTCTTCAATTTCTTTTCCCCCAACATTTCGTTGATCACACAATATCATAAATAATCTAATTACTGGGATATAATACTCAACTCCAGACTTTGTCCCTACAATTAAGTTGCCCATTTTCTTAGTTTTTGAACTCTTATTTCTGTGTGTCTGCATTTAATTTTACTGACATAGCACTCCCTTAAGAACTTCTTGGAGATCTGGTCTGGTGCTGGTAAATTCTTTCAGGTTTTGTTTATCTGGGAATGTTCATGTCTTTTCTTCCCAAATAAATGATAATCTTGCTGGATACAGTATTCTCAGTTGAAATTGCTTTTCCCTTAGCACGTTGAATATATTTTCCCATTCTTTCCTCGCTCACATTGTTTCCAATGAGAGATCTGCTGTTAGTATGATGGGATACCCTTTGTAGGTAACTTGCCATTTTTCTCTTGCCATCTTAGAATCTTGTCTTTGTCTGTGGTTTTGTCAATCTGGCTATAATGTGTCTTGGAGAAGATTTTCTTGGGTTGATTCTATTTGGGGTCCTCTGTATTTCTTGGGACTGAATCTTTGAGTTCCTCTCTAGGTTTGGAAAGTTTTCTTACAGGATCTCATGGAATAGATTATCAATGCCCTTATGAGCCTCTTCACCTTCTGGGATGCCTTTTATCCAGATGTTTGGACGTTTGATGGTATGTAGTATTTCTCGTGTATTAGTCTCAAATTTTTGGGCCACTTTCTCAGTCTTCGTGGTGGATTTTTCTAGGCTAGCAATTTTCTCTTCTACGTCTGAGATTCTGTTTTCTGTATGATCTAGTCTGCTTTTAATACTTTCAAGGGAGATTTTGACTTCCTGTATTATAGCCTTCATCTCTAACAGTTCCATCTGATTCTTTTGTAAAGTGTGAAATTCCTCTTTTAGATCTTGCATGAATTTCCTCACCTCCTGGGACTTGACAACTGCTTTCTATTTCCTCTTCAGCAGTTCATTGTCTTTCTTCTCTTCCATCTCTGTTAGCTTCGCCATTATGAATGTTCTGAATTCTTTATCAGACATTTCCATGATTTCCATTGAACTGTGTGTGGATGAAGAGAAATTTTCCTTTTCCCTTGCAGGAGAGGTATTTTCCTGCTTTCCCATATTTCTTGTGGTCCTGCAGCAATTTCTAGTCATCTGGTTGATGGTCGGTTTCTTCCCAAACTTGGAAGTTCAATCTGAGCATTGAGGTGTGTGCAGAAAAGGAAACAGAAAGAGAGAAACAACAGCAAAAAAACAAACAAGAAACAGAAAAAGAGAAGAAAAAAGAAAGATAAAAACTTTTCCATAGATCTGAAAAAAATTAATATGTAAAAAATTTTCAGTAGAAATCAAAAATTGGAAAACTGTGTGGCGCATGCACCGCACAAAATTCTTAAAAGCAAAAATTTAAAAAAAGAGAGAAGCCAGAGACAGAGACAGAGGTATAGACAGACAAAGACAGGTACAGAGACAGGAGGCCTGAAAGGGGTCTTCCTAACACGTGAGTTTTGTATGCTCGAGGCTGAATTATCAGTGGGAAATCTTGATTTCTGTTTCCCCAAAATGGCTAGTTCACAGGATCCATGAAGCTGTCTTGAAGAAGGCCTGTTCCCTATGCCTCTCCTGGGTTGGGAGGGATGCAGAACCAATTTCTTTACAAAGATGACCACTTTTTCAAAATTCATCAAAATGAAGTGTTGTCTCTGTCACTGATACAAATACTCCATTAAAATTTCAGTATGTTTTCTTTTTATGGAAAAAGAGACCAAAAATCCTAAAATTTATCTCTGAGCAGCATCCAGTACTTCAGGAGAAAGTAGGATTATCCAAATTTTGTCCACTCATCAAGGACACTGTGTCCAGCAGAGCACGGTCAGCACAGCAGCAGGTTCCCCCCAGTGACCACGCAGAAGGAACTAAGTGCCACAGGTGGGGACAGAATTCGAAAAAGCCTCTACAAAACTTTTAAAAGG